CCTCCTCCTCCTCCTCCTCCTCTCTCCTGGCTCTCCTCCCACCCTCCCCTGCCCCCTCCTTTCCTCTCTTAAGAAGATGCAACTAACTCTCCAGGGGGAGAGGGTTCAACCCGGAGGCGCCCCAGGGCCTGTGGATTCTAGGTAAAGCTGGGGAGCTGCCAGGACCCCCAAGGCTCCATACTCTGGGCTTGGCCTGAGTTTTTTGTTTTTGTTTTTGGGAAGGAGATTAAACCCAAGGCCATCGCACTGAGCTAAAATCCCAGCCCCCACCTTTTGTTAATTTTTAAAAAATTTTTGAGACAAGGTCTCGATAAATTGCCAAGCCGAGCTGGAATTTTCAGTCCTCCTGCCTCAGTCTCCCAGAGTGTTGGGAATACAGGCATTTGCCACCACGCCCAAGCTTTGAGAGAATGCAAATTTTAATGACAGGTTTAAAAAAAAAAAATCACCTAACAGGTTTTGACATTCAGAGTCAGATGTGCCCCTGGTCTGCCAGTGCCGCGTCCTTTGGATATGTGTGCTCGAACTTGGTGGCACAGCTGCGGGCCTGCCTGTGGGTTTCCAGTCCCGCCTCTCCACTCCTAGTTCCTCGGCAAAATAAACTGACACGGGCTGCAGACATGCTGGCAGGACGCTTCCGAGTCCTGCTAAAGATTTCCCTTTTGTTAGGGCGCTGGACTGGGCTGCAGTGGGTCTGGGTCGCTCAGTCGCCGGAGGGAGCCTGGGTGACTCCTCTGTTTACCAGCCCCAGCCCCCCCCTCCTCTGTGCCCAGCCTGCCAGGTTTTCTGTCAGGCTCGGTTGAGGTTGATGAGTCCAGAGAGCTTGCCTGGCTGTCACTATCCTCTGTTCACTGTTGGGGTGAAGGTGAGCCAACCTTCTTCCTCCAGCCCCACTGTTCCCATCGTAAAACCAACTGGCCCTGCAACAGCTCCGAGTGTAGAGATGGAGCCCTGATTTTCACAATGGAACCCTTGGATGGGGATGCAGCCATCGAAGACCCAAGAGGAAAACAGTGGCATGAGAATGATTCAGATGGAGGGAGACCAGTGGTGCTGCCCTCCTCACAATCCAGGACCAACCCCAATGGTGGCAGCCTCGGCAGCCTCAAGGTGGGTGGGAGTGGGGAAGGGGAAAGCGCAAAGTGCAATGTGAGAAGCCCCAGCCCCCTGAATGCAGGAAGCGAATGAAGGCTGTGTGCACCCAGGTACCCCAGTGAAAAAGTACCGGGAGAGCTTGTGCATCTACCTCCAACCTTATCTGGGCTGATTCCCACCCCATTCCACCCTTTCATATCTCTGGTCCTTGCCCGCAGCCAATTGCGCTATCCCACATCTGGTTTCCATCCTCGGCTTACCCTGAAGTGCTCCTTAATAAAGGTATTCCTCAAACTGAGGGAGGAGTTGACCCAAACCCCTCCCCATGGGCTTCAGGAACCTGTCTCTGACCAGCAGACTTAGCTGCCAGAGGGTCTAGTATTTACTGAGTATCTATCTACCAAAGGCCACCTCGGTTTGGCCAGGCGTGTCTTCTCATACCCATTTTGCAAATGAGTAGACTGAGTCTCAAAGGGAGCAAATCACCTTCCAGCCTCAGCAAAAAAGTGGCGAGCCTGCCTCACTTGCTCTGGTCAGGCTGACGTTACTTCTGGTTCCTATCACCACTATGCTTTTGCCTGGGTAGTGATCTTGGAGCTCAGTCCACCCTGATACTTGCATTCGCCTCTTCTTCATCCCAGACCTCAACCTCATGGTTGTCTGGTTGCCAGACCACGTGTATACCCCAACCCCACCAGACAGTGACTCCCACACAGAGCCTCCTAGGTGCCTGGTGCCCCGCAAATAATTTGTAGGATGAAATAGTAAAGCTAGGGGTGTAGAACTCTCACCCCTCGGTTCTGTCCAACTTTCTAGCCTCTTTGACTTTCCCCAGCCAGGGACAACAGGTCTCCCACTCACTTCTTCTTCCAGAATCAAGTGTCAAAAATTAATAGGATGAGGAGTCGGGAATTTAGCTCAGTGGTGCTGGTGCCTGCCTGGCAAGCGCAAGGTCCAGAGTTCAATTCCCAGTGCCAGGAAAAAAAATTAATAGGATGCCGGCCCCTCCTGGGCCTGGGTGCAGAGAACGGTGAGTTTTCTCCAAGCAGGGGACAGGTCTGTCTTGTGTACCGCAGGGTTCAGCACATAAAATGTGTGTTGAATGAGTGAATAATAATGTACTTCCCAGAGATTCACTTTTGTCAGGGAATTCCAGGCAATTAGGTGACACCAGTCCCTGGAGCCCAGAAGTGGCCTGCAGGCACCCAGATTGTGGTGACCGCCTTCACTCTTCACCCCACATATACCCCTTTCCTGGTAGAGGGAGACAAAGAGCCTGGAACTGTCCCAGCAGGGGTGAGGAGTAAGGAGCACAGGGCAGCTGCAGCTGCAAGCACCCGATTCCTGCTAACCTGTGAGCCAGGTGCCTGTAGGACAATCATCTGTCACATCCCCGGAAGTTTGCTTTTCTGCCTGGCACCACCCAGGCTTTGATGACCACTCTGCCAAGTGTAGCCTGGCATCGCTCTGTGTCCCATCACTTGCTTATTCATGGGTCCAGCCTGTCATCCCTTCGGCCAGAGCCTAAAGCCCAGCCACTGCCACCCGATCCTCAGCCGGGGTGCAGGGCACACTTCCAGCTTTCTGGCCACGCAGAGGGCACCGAAGCCTGGCTCTGGCTCTGGCTTCTGATCCCCACAGAGAGCATTTTCTCCCACACCAAGGGACCCCCTGGCTTGCTGACCACCACCCCTAAGGCCCCTTACCAGACCAGGTGGCATTTGCCTGACCCTTTCACACTAGTGGGGACCGTGCGGACCTCAGGGGCTCTCTACCGCCAGTCCTGCATCCCCACCCCTGGCAGGTGCATCCCTAGCTCTAGCTCAAGTGCTAGGGACCCCCCTTTGCATCTCCTTTCGCTGGGACAGGGATGCCACACACGGCAGAGGGAAGGGGAAATGGCAAGATAAGTCTCTTCCTTAACCCTAGCACTGAGTGTCCCAACCTTGCCACCTCTGTCACCTCTGCCTGCCCCGCTGCAGCATCCGTCCTGATCTGACATTATCTCCCACATTAACAGACGGGCTTGGTTTATTGTCTGTCTTTCCGCTGAGGGACAAATCCGTGGCCACTGTGTCCTTGGTGCTGTGTGTAGAGCTTGGCACACAGTCAGGCTTCAATTCCTGAGACCAGGAAATCTTGCACAGGAGCCCTCTGTGTGCGCCTGCACACACGGTGGAAATAGCCACCTCCTGGCAGCATCACGGGTTGAGCAACTGGTACCTGTCAGCTCTTTCACGGGGAGAGAGATCTTTGCAGTCTTCACAATAGCCTTATGGTAGTACTGTTTTTCCCATTTACAACGATTAAGAAATCAGAGCAATGTCCGGGTCCTATATAGCAAGGCAGAGGATTTTGGATTTGACGTGGGATTCCAACGCGGCTGACCTGACAGCAGGCATCTCTGGGGTCAGACGTCTGTGTGGGGGAAACCGCTGGGTGGAAAAGCTCTCTGCCTTTGCAGGCTGCAGGGGGAACAGGACGGTCCTACTCTCAGTGTTACTGTCAGGCGGCGAGGTGGCAGCAAGTCTGTCCCTCGCATCTGGGACGGGATTCCGCGCCCTGGCCAGCGCCAGCCCCACTCGGCCCCACCGTGCTCTCCTCTGGGCGTCGGTCCAGGTCCGAGTGGACCATCGCTCGCCCAGCACCCAACCACCCCAGAATCTGCCCCAAACTTTCAGTGCTGGGCTCCTTCCGCGTCGGGTGCTGACCTCAGTGGGAGCCCTTAGGAGGGAGGAAGAGGGAGGCCCTGCCCGGTCGGGTTCTCCAGGCGGCGGCGAGTGGGCACCCGGCTTCTCGGGCGGAAGGCTGCATGTCAGTGGGGTGCTTTGAGACCCAGGGGCCTCGTCCCTGTGCTTACCTGGGCCCCTGGAGAACCGCGCAGCCACACTTCCTGGGTCCCGCATCCCGCGAGTAGGACCGCTTGTGGGACTGCGGCTAGCAAACACTCCTCAACGCAGCGCTGACCGAGGCCTTAACACCCCTCTCCTCTTTGTCCCCAGGTTGTGTTTAAGGCGGCAAGGGACACGGGGAAGAAAGGAGGCCCGGACTAGGGGCTCACCTTCCTGGCGCAGACCCCGAGAAGCCTGAAGCTAATCGAGGCTGCACAAGCAGCTCCATTCCCTGTACCAAGAAGCACAAAGCCAGGTTTACAAATTGACTGCCCTCGAGCCTCTGCAGGCTGGACAGGGCAC